AGAGAGAGAGAGAGAGAGAGAGAGAGAGAGAGAGAGAGAGAGACTGGAGCATATGTGTTTCTCACCTACAGATGGTAGTAGCCCTGCTGCTCGGTAAAAAAAGCTGAGTGCTGACAAAACACTAAAATTGAACAAAAGTTGCCTGTTTGTTTGGGTAACACATTGGGATAAACCGAATGAAATTGTGGAACTGAGTGTACTTAGTGGCCTGGAAAGCAGATGTTTTGTTTGTTGTATACTATGGACTTGCTGTACAAAGCCCTCCTGCATCAAATTGTGTTTTTTAAAGTTTAGGACAAACCTGCTTGGACTTTTCCGGGGTTTCCCTGTCTCATGCTTGGTTAACACCTCCACTACAATTGAGCCTGCCAATTGTAATGTCAAATGAGCAATTATTATCCGAAGGATTACTTCTTAACATTATGATCAGATTTAAATAGCTCAACCTTCACAATCAAGCTGCTCACCATTGTTAAAATCCATGAACTCACCCCGAATTAAGCTTTGCTTTATCCACCGTGGTCCTGGGCTGATACATTTGTGTAAGGATTTCTGGAGAGAAGATTGGCTGGCTGAGTGCTAAGATGTTGCAGTTTTGTTCTGCCAGTGGACTGTCAGTGAACCATGTAATTGTGGCAGAGGCTGGAGTACCATTGACGGGATCATACATGGGTGTCATTGTCTTACTATATAAACCGGGGCTAGCTGCAAAATATAAATATACAATTATCAAACATAAGTAATACATTATATTACATTATAAGGTAAGAGTTACAATTATACATGGTACAGTGGAAAGTTTGATTATATCCAGCAAGTTGAAGAGAATTCCCTTTTCATTGACCAGACTTTATAAAAATCAAAATGTAATTGATTGCTATAGATTACTACACCTGGCACATCACTGCTCTCTGCACTACTTTACTGAGAAGCTTGATAGTGATCAGTTACATTTGTCTGTGGCGCCCAAAGCAGCTCCGTGGATTAAATGAATTTGACTGATGTAGCTATTCTCAGTCACCTCCAAGGGCAGCAGAAATTACTTACATTAAACGCCACTTACATGAAACGCCAGTCAAATTGTTTTTTTTTTATCACTTTGGGATCACTTTGTTGGGTAAGTGTGCCATAATGTGCAAATCAGCAGGCGTTAGGCTTTCATTTGCTAGTCATGTTGAAAGAGTCCACCACCCTATCCAGAGGTTGGCAATATTCTTCCATAGATACAGTGAAAGAATGAGTGTACCCTCTACGCCACCCTAAGGCTCTGTTCACTCCTAGGCATTTTGGCCATAAAAACTATGTGCAACAAAACACTCAAGACAGGGAATCCCATTCATTTCTATGGCCCTGTTCACATCTGAGCGTTTTGTCGCAAGCAGAAAACCGCCTGTCACAGGAAAACGTACATGAGCTACTTTTTGGAAAATTATAACGCTTTTTGGTCCCATAGACTTCAATGGGAATCTTCACGCAACAAAACACTCAGGTGTGAACAGGGGCAATAGAAATGAATGAAATTCATTGTCTTAAGCATTTGTTGTGCTTACCTTTGATTGACAAAACACTTTAGGTGTGAATGGAGACCTAACACTGTTACTAGCTGGATGACCAGGTAAAAATAAAAAAAAGGTAAAAATAAAGGAAAAAAATCCTACAAAAAGAAAACTAAAGCAGCCACCACATCTAAGGACTGATAACCTGCAATATATCACATTTCTGTTTTTGAGTTTAGATATGCTTTAATATACACTCACATCAGTGGATGCTAAGCTTTATTATATCTCTATCTAGTAGTTGTTATACCTAATGATCCAGAGCTGCTGTGTGAACTGTCCAAGTTGATAATTTCTTCTAAAATTGGTTCCTTTGCGTCTTTTTTCTTTTTCTTCTTTACAGAATCTTCTAGAGGCTTCAGTAATGAAAGTTCTTCAGGATGCCTGATATCTAAAAATGATAACAATGTCACTAATATGTAGACTTAGCAGGCGGTAGATCTTTCTAGTGGTCATCCTGTTATACATGGCTCAAATTTGGGTCCTATTTCCTAATGAATCAGCTGAAATTTGAGTCACGGGTGGCCCCTGTGGGTACCACCCAACTCCACAAAGGTCAATTTTAAAATTGAAATGAAAATTAATGGCCAGACAGTGACTGCGTGCCACCAGTCCTACAGCCACTGTCAGTGGTATATCCAGGGTATGGCACATGCCCTTGGTGCCACTTGAAGGGGGGCGACATGCCGTGGGTTAGCCAAAGTTCACCAACCCACGGAGACAGTTGACTTTTTTTCTTTCCCCACGCTCTCCCATACACATCTCCCCGTCTCGCTCTTAGCAACCAGGGACTCTCTAGCTGGTGTTCCGTCCAGCTCCTGGCACCCAGAGTCGGCAGGGAGATGTGTAAGGACCATACACACCCGGCTCTTAGCAACCAAAGTGAGCGGGGAGATGTGTATGTTGGTGAACTGCTGGCCAGAGCATACCAGGTTGCTAAGATCCGGGTGGGGAGATGTGTATGGTCCTAACACATTTCCCTGCCTGGCTGGGTGGGATGCCAGGGTCACAATTTGTTGTAGATATGCCTCAAGTCACTGTTCAGGTATTTATGCAACCATGGTGCTGGTGGCTGTTTAACACAATGTGTGCAAATTCCTTCATCGATGCTAAACACACTGTGGGCCAGAGCTGTTGAAATCTCAGGACAGAAATAAAAATCTTTGGCTCTTTTATATGTATGGATCTCTGTATTTAGCTGTTTGCTTTTACAGCTTGGAGTTCAGCGGTAATGAAGAGTGGCCCAGACTGGCAATTTGACGATTTTGTCAATTGCCAGAAGTATTGGTCTGTGTAAAAATATTTCTGGGCTAGGAGATTACTTTTTAAGAAAACAGCAATCTCCTCTGTAGCTTGTATATATTCTGAGCTTGGATTAAAAAAAAAAAAACAGGCCCTCATACAGTTTAGTGTGCCCTATATGCAGAGCTTATTCCCCAACATGCAGATAACACATCTCATTTACTGTTCTATCTACAAGGCACAAGCACAGTCATGTTGATTGAGACTGGAGCGATGTCTGCTTTACTCAGAGACATTCCACTGCCCCAAGCGGCATCTGCACCTCCTGCCAGAATCACTACCAGATACGTTTATTCCTGATCTAATGTGCACAAGCTATACAATAGGTATTATTCTGGTCAAACAATGCTTGCTTTGATGGTACAGTTCATAGAGGAGATTCCATTTGTGACGTTAGGAAAGAGGAAAAAAAACCTGAATGTGTCACATGCCAGCTCTAAGTTTTAGGAAGAGTACAATTTACTCTCCCAATACTTTTCCTTTAAATGATTTTATGTTTGACTGCTGGGTCTATCTTCACATTAAAGAATAACTGAACCCAGGAACAGCAGACAGAGGACTAAGCCTTAGGAGTCTATTCAGATGATCTCAGACTCAATACTGATTTGCCATGTACTGCATTGTGTCTCTGTGTGGTAGCAGCCATCTTGGTAGAGGCAAGGCAAAGCCCCTAGCAAGGAAAACAGCGAGTAGCACAGTAGTGACATTACCAAATCTCACTCCAAATTAATCAGAAGCAGAAGTGCCTTAATTTTACACTGCAGATATACAGCTATTAGACTGTAGTCACAGGAGTGCCTAGGCACCCTGCTATACCAGGAAGTACACTGCTATTTTGCAGGAGGCATTCTGGAGAAAAGGTACATTTGTAATAAAGAAATAAATACTTGTTGTTGCCCACTTACTTAGTGTCCTGCAGATTTCAACAACAGCTTTGAAGACCAGTGCTGAAAAACTAACTTTTAGCCGCACCGTTTTCATATTTGGCAATCGGAGCCGCATGCTCTTGTGTTGAGGGGTAAAAAAAAGCTTTGCATTGGCTTGTACTCCATATTTATCCAGAGTCCAATGTGTCTTCAGCAGCCAGGTGTTCTTTTGCTCCCACCAAAGGGCATAGTCTGACCAGTCCCTAGCAATACCTAAAACAAAACGTAAACACAGTAACTGCATGAACAGTATATAATAGGTTGTTACAGAGTTGAAGGTTAAAAAAAGACACAAATGCATTAAAGTGCACGTAAACCTTAAAACAGATATTAAAACAGATATTAAAGCTATGAATGCCTTTTTTTAATAAACGATATTGTACATCTTCTTCTGCCAATGTACTTTCTTTACCTAGCAAATACCTGGTTATCTTGCCATTTTTTTTATCTTTATCTATCTTCCTGTGGCATTCTGACCATGCCAAGCACAGTGGCAGATCTGTACTGGCATGGTCAGTTTGCGCCCCAATCAGGACATTATCTGTGGTCCTGTCCTCAGCATTAAGGCCATATAGAAAGCTGGGACACATACAGCAAAAAAACCTGACAGGGTTTCCACCTGAAAAGCTGAAAAAAGGTACACACTCCAAAACAATAGCCGGTGCTCCATGCTCGCAGACTGAAACTTAAGTATATTTTTGGCTTTAACCAGGGCCGGTGCAAGGATTTTTGCCTTCACAGGCAAAGGTTTTTTTTTTCCGCCCCCCCCTCCCCCAGCATTTAGAAAAAAGGAATACCATCAGCTACTAGTACTTTATATGCGAAGCCACAAGCAATGACACCCCAAATAGTTTACTGTGGAGCACCCCAATACAAAGACACCCCAAAGTGTACCCTCCAGAAACCATAACAAAGCAGCTCACTCTAAACTTATCCAGAATTTGGGAAAAGAATGACCATCATCTTCTGAAGCCCTATATGTAAAGCCACAGGCATTGACACCCTACGTCTATTACCATGGAGCACCCCAATGCAAGAACAACCCCCATGTGCTTTTCTGCCCTCCCAGCGCCCTCAAATGGCTGCTTGTGCTGGCTGTATGGTAGCGCCGGCACTGGCTTTAACAGAAGTTGTCTGAAACTTGCTGAGTGCTTTATACAGTATGAATTTCATCCGGTTCCTGATGAACCAGGCAAAATTTGCACAGTGGGTGCCGCTGTTGGCTCCCTTCCACCCGGCATTCCTTGATCAGCTGGTCAAAGGAGCAAGTTTTTTCATTTATATTTTCTTCGTTCAGCCCACAGGTTGAAAAAAGAAAATAAGCATGTATACCTAGCTTTAATGTTTCCTGTACTCTAGTACACGTTGACACATTCACTGATCTAGTACACATTGGCGCCTCTGTGAACCAGCTTCTGTGAGTTCCCTTGGTAAGTTTAATTACCTGTTGAGTACATCTCATATTTTTCTACTTCCTTTAACAGGACAACAAGGAATTCAGCAAAAGCGACGGGTATAGGGGTGGAACAAACCATATAACACTGCCACGTGTACTCACAGTATATCAATCATGCTAGGCTTTAATGTGTTTGTCTTTAAAACCACATATCCATTTAAGACTACTCTGTCCTTCAGTGTTGCCACCCTATTAGTGGAAGTGGAAAAACAACAGATTTACTGACATGATCAACAGGTAATACAAGGGGATTCAGAAAAACTGGTGCAGTGGTAATGCTTTTGACAGATTGCATTTTGTATATGTTTTTAATTTTTTTCCATAGCTCCACCTTAAAATACATATGGAGGCTGCCATTACCTACTTACCCCTCAAGATTCTAGTTGCCTTTGCTAATACAATGAACCTCTGATGTGAATGCTATAGGAGTCACTGACCTAGAAGTAGGAGGATCAAGTAAAGTCAGAATCCTTATCTGCAATCTTGTTCCAGGCCAGTGACTCAAAGTATTGAAGCAAGAGTGTCAGCATGACAACCAGGCAACTAGTATTAGAATGAGAAGCAGCACCGGCAGCCCCAATGCTTCTCCAAGGAAAGATTTCCTTTCCAGACAATAGCTGAGTGTTTTTCAATTGCAGAGTGAGTGAGAATCCAATGTCACATCTCTACAGGTGTGAGAACTTTTACATACATATCTGTGAGTTTTATAAGTCGCTCCTCATCACTTATATTTGAATTCCCTGTGTCATATTGGACTGATAAACAACTACTAAAAAAGTTAAAGAAAACAAATGTCAAAATAAATTCTGAGTAAGTGCTGTGTATGTTCTAGATTGTTTTTTTGCCTGTGTAAGTTGTTCTTGCTTCTGAGGAGCCAGTTCTGTGCTTGGAGCACGTTGGGTGTGATTTGTATGACAAAGATAAGAAGTAGAAAGGGAATAGGATTTAAGGTGAGCGTGTGGCATTGTAGAAGTGGGTGTGTAAAGAACAAAGAAACAGCAGGTCACCTCAGGTGTGGAGTATACAGTCTTCTGAAAGAGTACATTGCTTGGCTATTTTAGGTCTCTTACTCTCTGGGCCCAGTTTAAAAATGTTTTTGTGCATATGGAGTTTCATTGATAATACGCAGATGACCAAATCTTCACAGTATCTACTATGCACCTGCGATGTATGAAGATACGTGTGCAGGCACCACAGAACCCATATACTGTAGTTAGAGAAGGACTGAGAACCTTTGTCCTACAGAAGAAACAGAACCGGCTCGCTTTTTCATGGATGGGACAGAATTTTGCAAACTAAAGAAAGTGGGTCTTTGTGTCCCATTGAATGGTGGGCTTGATGAGGTCTTCCTAGAGACCATGATTTATTGTGACATACCTTCACAACTTCTTCTGTCACTTCCCTAAATAACCTAAAGAATGGCTCTTGCAATATAGTCTCTGATTTATTTTTCCGGAGTGCAGCAAGTCCAAACCCCAATGTCTTCAAGTGCTACAAGCTCCCACAGACTCTTTAAATCTGATGAACTTTATATCTGATGTAGCTAGTCCTTAGCTGCACTCAGTAGTTCCCCTATATCACTATTCTGTCCTGTAGTGACTGGAGATGAGCATTTGGTTGAGGTTAACCATGAGAGTTTGATCCAAACCCAGGTTTCACTAAATGGGCAAATTAAATGGCTAGTTCTAGCCAGTTTGTCCACCTGCCTGAACTTCTACCTGCTGCAGCTGGAGGTCAATTTTGTAGTGGCGGTGTCACTGCCAAGTCAAGTTACCCTCCTAATGTTGAGGGCATGTGGCCTGGTATGGGTCAGGAGGGGAGTTTTCCTTGGGGTCCCCCTCAAGAACCATACCAGGCCCTTATCTGGGCATGCAGTCTTGGTTACCAGGAAGGAGAGGGTAGCAAATGCCCCCCCCCCTTTCCTAAAACATACTAGAAGAAAAAACAAAACAAATTATATCCATATCAGACCCCTCTCCTAGACAGGAGTCTGGGGAACCCAGGCAAAAAATATACTAACATTGGCATTTGGGTCTGTATGTATTTTGGGGGGGGGTACCCATTCAACAAATCAAAACAAAATGGTGTAGCATGGCCAGGAAAGGGAGGGTAGCAAGTGTGCATCTATCCTTCCCTTCTGAACCATACCAGGCCATATGCCTTGAGCATTCAGAAGGTACCTTGCCAGGAGGGCCCCTTTGGCAATGTACCTAGCATCTAACGCCCAGCTATGTAGATCCAGCATCAATCTTAATGAATGTTTCTCCCAGTTTGGTGCAAAATTGGCCCCAGCTACCAGAACATAATCTGGTATTTTGCTGGACCAGACAGAGTTTGAACTTGATGGATGTGTTTTGTTTCAGTTCAGTTAACTACAGAACTATGTAATTACTAAAATATTCCCAAATTTCCTGTATGCAAAATATCAACTTACCAATTTGTTCTGCAAGTTTAAACATTACTCCTCCAATATGAAGGTCGCCTGACACTTGCACACTGACATCTTGGTTCTCTGCCTCATTCTGCTGATCAACTGTAACACAAAGTTCCCAGGATGCTGGGCCCACTGCAGCGGTGTATGTCATTATGGCAGGCTCACAGTTCTGCAACAGAAACAGAGAAAGGGTTTTAAGTCAATCTATTCCCCGGAAAATAACTCTTGCGCATACAGCAATAATAATTAATAACATAGTAGGGGGAATTTATCAAAACGGGAGCAGTCAACATCTGCAGCAAATTTGCATCTAAGCAACTTCTTCGGTTCAACAAAAGAGAAGAAGTAGTTTAGATAGGCTACAAAACATCTCCAACATCACAGAACAAGTCCAGTTATATGTGACTAACTACTACTAAATATACCATGACCTGGATAAATGAGAACCTTCATTGACATAGTACTGTTGTGTTATACTCTGGGTCTATGAGCATATCTTACTACATAATAGATTAAACGTGTGATTGTTTCTGCTTTGTCAATCTGGAATTTCATATCTAAACACAAAAACACTCATACAGGTCTATCTACATTCCTGTTAAAAAAAAAAAAAACCTCCTTAATATCTCTCCTGAGGGCAAGCATTGTGTGTTCAACCTCCCAGGAGAACAAGCCAGAGCTTGTAGCAGAGCAGCGAAACATTGAGTCTAGAAGCTAGGTTTGGGAAAAATCAGAGCTGCGGGAGACAGCAACACACTATCCCCACAATTGTTGTCTTACGTCATGTTTGATAAATGCACACCAATATCAGATTTGATGCTGAGGAAGACTGCAACATGTTCCCCACACACAAACAGCCTCTGAATCAGACTTACATGCTATTTAAAATCATAAGCTGTAATCAAATTACAGTGCCATAAAAACCTCCTAAAGTATGTTGTTGTAATTAACTCTTCCTATACATCATGGTGTAATCTCTTTTAGATATAGAAAGTGAAAAGCCTAATAGATGGCCCTTTCAATACAGGGAGAGCTTAGCGTATTTCAATACTGCAAAAGCTGGCACACTATGCTCCTCCAAAAGAATCAACTTTATTCCACATGCATCTTTTTTGGGGGAGGAACATCATGTGCCAGCTTTATCTACTTTACCCTTTTCATTTCCACACAAAGTGTGTTTTCCTTGCTTGATACACTGCCTGGCCAAAAAAAAGGTCACCAACTGGAATTAGGTAAGCAAATAGGTAGGAGCCTTCAGTTGGTCAGGTCTAGGTTCAGCAACGTTATGTCCCCATATAAAAAGGTCAGCTGTCTACCTGAATATAATGAATGACCAGGTTTTTTCATCAATGGATTTTTCCTTCCCCGATGGCACATTGGGCATATTCCAAGATGGCAATGCCAGGATTTATCAGGCTCAAATTTTCACACATGGATTGGCCACCACAGAGTCCAGACATTAAAGGTAAAAAAAAATGTCCACCCCCTCAATGCTAGTGTAAGGACTTACCTCAAATGATGCCTCCGTATCTAATCATCTTCTTCTTTCCTGTCGTTTTCATGAGTTCCTCCAGCGCTGGTGCCGGTCTCTCATCCAGCGCTGACTCCTCTCTCTTCCTGGCACTTCCTGTCCCACGGTGTCTGTGGGGGTACACGCTGCCTCCATTGACTTACCTGGTGTCTCTTCTGGTCTCCTGGCCGAAGATCTGAACTGCGCATGCGCCGCCCCATGATCCTTTGCGGCCGCCCGAGAATCTTCAGATCTTTGGATGGGAGCTCGCGGCGGAAACACAGATAAGTTTAAACCCCTTTGTTAACTTTTCTTTTTAATGTTTTTGCATATATCTACTGCTTGCTAGCAGTAGATATTTGCAAAAATATGCGAGGGTTTAATTGTCCTTTAACCGCACTGAGAATCTTTGGGATGTGCTGGAGAAGACTTTACGCAGTGTTCTGACTCTCCTTTCATCACTACAAGATCTTGGTAAAAAATGAATGCAACTCTGGATGGAAATAAATGTTGTGACATTGCATAAGCTTATCCGAACGATGGCACAGCGAATGCGTGCTCCAATCAAAACTAAAGGTGGTCCAACCGAACATATTAGTGTGTGTGACTTTTTTGGGGCCAGGCAATGTATATAAACCATTGTTTTCATAAATGTTGCAGTGTCTGTCTATGGGACCTATACGCATCAATCTTATATTTACCGATCACATATACAGTTTATTTATTTATTGAATTTCTTGTTTGTGCTGATTCGTCCACTCAATACACAATTTCTGCCTTAAGCATCACGGACTGAGTAGCATATTGCCCATTCTGATGCCCATGTTTAAAGGACCTTATAGTGTATGTGTAGCCAAAAGTTTGTATTTTTTTGTTTAGTATTAGAGTACATAAGGATTAGAATCCCTGTCAGGTTTTTTGCAATCCTGCCCCGTAAAGCTGCCCATACACCTTACAACCATTTCACGACTTTGGTTGTGCGGTGGTTATAATGTGAATAAAATTTCATACGATCTGCCCATTTTGAACAGGCAGATCATACTTGCGATCACTTAGCGGGGAGGGCTTGCGATGATTGCAGTGCTGAGCGGGCAGTGTGCACTTGCGAAGACCGGCCTATGCAGCATTCGTCTTCCGATCACGTCCCCATCCCGCCGAAAATCGTAAATTTTCGGCAGGTTTTCCAGCATGTTCGGAAAACGAAAGTCGTGCAACCTTACAGTAGAAGCGGTCGCATGCTGCCCATACACTTGCTGACTATCGTACAACCGCGGGATCACCCGCGATTATCGTACGATAATCGGCAGGTGTATGGGCACCTTTAGAGAGATTTCCCTTCACTTATGTTTAGCTGACAGCAGTTTTACCGATCAGGAAGTGAGGGAAAGTCTGCAACAGAAATACCGACAGCAAGACAAAGCTTACAGGCATTCTGGCCTTTTCTACTATAATTTAAAAAAAAAAATGTTTTTTGTTTTTCATTTCTGCCTGTGCTGATGTTGGAAAATTTCCCTTACGTCCTGTCTGGTGAAACTATCGCCAGCCAGAGAGTAGCAAAGGGGCATCATTCTAGCAGTGCACCAGATAGCAATACAACATGACAGGGGTTCTAATCTTTCCCTAACTCTATGTTAAAAAAAGGTTTGGGCTGAACATACAGTTTAAAGCCCTGCATCAGAGTGGGGAACATGCTGCTCACTCCATGATGTCCTGCTTGATTGGCACACACACCAGCTAAATAAATTAAATCAAACAAAAAACAAAACTTTATATCTAATTAATAAATATAAAATTTATGTGTGTAGGCTCCATAGATAGATACTGCAAAAAGGGCTTGTGAAAACAATGTTTGTAAATCAATCAAGGAAAGAAAACTTTGTATGGAAATGATGAAAAGGTTAAAATACTGGAGCTGTCATGAGCTATCATAACTGCTAATCACCACTTGCTATAACAGTGGTGATTAGCTGCTATTACGTACTTTCTCTTCACCCCATTTATTATGCTCACCCTATGTGACCCATATAAACATATTGCTCTGTAATATGTTCCAGTATACAGAGACTAATTTGAGGAACCTTGGCCAAAATGAATGTACAGAGCAGAGGTAGCCAAAGTTCGGCCCTCCAGCTATGCTGAAACTACAAACCCGATCATGCATCTGCCTCTGGATGTCATGCCTGTGGCTGTCAGAGTCTTGCAATGACTCATGGGACTTGTAGTTTCACCACAGCTACAGGGCTGAAGTTTGGCTACTCATGGTATAAAGGGAGCAAGGACTACTCGCTCAGATAAATACGCTTTAAGGTGTGCTGTGTTAAGGCAGTCCGATTAATTTGACACCTTATCACACTCAATGTCGGACATGCACCCTTTTTTAATGCAGCACAATGCAAACCAAGACATTGCATGTGCATTATGGTAGGCTATTGTACTCTTTATACTACTACAACAGTGGCATTACATTGAGTGCACCATTTTATCACGTTACCACAATGCAAAGATCTAAATGGGCCCTAAATGAAACTGTTCACTTCAATCATCAAAAAATATACAGGACAAAGTACTATTTTTAGTTCCCCTGCACAATCCAGTATACAAATTGAACTCAGCTACACAGAGTTCACAAAGCTAAGTGAACATTCTCTACTTCTTTAGTAAAACAACCTCATTGTTCCATCCTAAAGCTGGCCATTCACAAATAGATTTTCGATCAGGAATTTTCGTTGCTGCCAAGAACCCTCGTTTGATTTTAGCTCAAATAGCCCCTCATGCACAGACCAATGTCGATTTTGATAATCATTCGTTAGCTATACTATATCACTGAATTTCATCGATCGACAGAACTGATTTTTGTTTGTGCATGTGCATTCTCCTTGCTGAAATTTTTGTAAGTACGAAAACGCCACTAATCCTTGGATTTTTGTGCGATTCGAACAAAGTTTTCCAACCTGACCGATCAAGGAAATGCAGCCAGGAGTACAATAATTAAAATAGTTGGTGTCCCATCAAATGATAGATTATCATTTGAAAGACCATTTGTGGACACTTTCTGAACCAAAATTGATAGGTGTATGGGCACCTTTACTAACCTATTAAGTTCTGGGTTCAGAATCACTTATATAACACAATGTGGAGAAATTAATATGAAATTCAAGAACCAGTCTGTCTAATCTAGGAACCATTCGTTTTTTTCAGGAGCCAGCTCCATTGACAACAACTAGAGAGAATCTCAAAAGTTAGGTGCTGACTGTAATTTTCAAGGAGCATTGGCGACCTAGCTCCTGGGATTCGTCCAGCCCTATTATAACATTAAAAGGTTAAAAAGTATGTCTGCAAATGTTCAGCAAATGCCTCCCATAAAACTTCACTGCCCTTTCAGCACGGACGTACATTTACACGTTGGCAAACAAGCAGTCGTTTGTAATTTGTTAGTTCCGTGAGCGGGCATACAACACATACTAAAATATCATAACTGCGGCAGGCAATGTATCTAGTGTCAGTTGTTGCACAGGTAAGAAGCATATTTCATGAAATGTACAATGGTCTCACCTTGGCTTTCTGTTAGCAGCACCGTTCAACAGTCTACCTGTATTCCTGAGACACAACAGGAATACAGGAATGAATAGATCTCCACCCAGCTGTGACGAGGAAAGGGGCCACCTTCCAGGTTAGGGAAGTGCCCTCCGCTGGTAGTATAAATGGCCCCCGCCCAGTGCTTCTAGCACTAGCAAGCATTGCTATGACCTGCAAGTAACAGCATGTCAGAGATCTCATATCAGAAGCCTTACCTGTGCAGCACACCTCTGCCATGCCTGCTCACTAATCCCCAGAGCTGAGTATGAATAGTGCAGACATTGCATAGATTCCTGGCATTGTACAAGTTGCCCAGTCACAGGAGGCACGGCTACAATGTGGATTGTGATTAATGCAAAGCACAAAGTTTTATCCTCCAGGAAAAGAAATTCTACTTGGACTTAGAACTGTAGCTGAGGGCTGCATGCCTTTGTCTTCTGAGTATTAACTCTTTTCCTGCCTGCAGCAGGAGAGGCAGCTACATCTGTCATAGATAGTCTTTAAGAAAGCTTTCTCACGGTAATACGATAAATGGCAGAACCTCTAAAAGATTAATTTACGTATCGAAAAGGTAACAGTTTGATAGAATTGTCATAAGCATATCTCCTGGAAGAGTAGGGTTGCCACCTTTTCTTCAAGCGAAAACCGAACACACCAGCGGCATGTGGACATTTTTTTTGGGAGAATGAATTGTGGTTTATTCATATGTAAATAGTGCCGCCCATTCATATGTAAATATCACAGATGAGACTATTTTCAGTGGGGGGCCAGTAGCCCCTATCTTAATTTTGGTGGCCCCTGTCTGCCTGACATCTTGTGTCCGGGTTTCAGCTGCCATGAAACCCGGACACAACATTCAAAACCCGAACTGTCCGGGTGAATCCTGGACAGGTGGCAACCCTATGGAAGAGTAAGGCTTTTATGTGCGTTTGGGGATTCCTGCAGCAAGAACCTATGGTGCACCCGTTGCGGCCTCAGTGCCCGTTCACGTTAATGACAGAGTGATATCGGCCACATTTGACAGTGGCAGTCTACATGTACAGTAACCATACATCATATAATTACCTGTGGATCGGGAGAGATGCTTGTCCCAGGACACAAGGCCTCTGCATCGCAAGACAAGCATCTCTCCTAATTTGCAGGTAATTGTACCATGAACAGATGCAGCAGCTGTCACTCTGCATGTATAACTCTGGAAAGATGCGGCTGCTGTCACCAAGTCATTAACTTGAATGGGCACAGAGGCCGCATCTGAACAGGAACACCTAGGATTCCTGCCACAAGAATCCCCGAACGCACATAAAAGCTCCGCATGCATGGGCCTAATTAAACCGCACCAAATATCAGTTCCAAAGGAACTGAAAATCTAATTTTGTTGCAGAATTGAAATAAAGATACAGCACAATAGTTACATGTGCAACACAATCAACAATTTACTCCAACATGGAAGAGGTCTTATTTACTATCACTTTCCGTACCATCAATATGGCAGTATATCGTTATGAATTTGTCACAATATATAGTTAAAAAGTGTTGCAAATTTGTCACACATATAGTAAAAGTGTTGCAAATAAGAACTGTTTGAATTTGTCACACATGTTGGTATTAACAACTCACAAGTCCTAGGGTTTTCATGATAATGGCATATGGCTTTTGACTACATACGTACTGCCAGAAATGTGTTGACACAGCGTGACCAATGAACTACTGTACTGTACTGTACTGAAACCTATTTATTATTGTTTATTGCATAGATCGTTAAAAGACTGCTACTGATTTGTTAAGGAAGTAGTCAGGATAAGAGTTACAAGTTGAATTGTTTACCATGGGTTGTATGTTTTCTTGAGCTGTTGAAGTTTCTGTGTTAAGCTGGTCACAGATGTTACAATTTGGTTTTACAATCTACTAAATATACTGAAGTTAAGTGGTGCACAAACTGAAATGTGGTGGGTGGGCCTCAGTGCCACTATCTGCATCATTACACTATGAGTGCAGGTGCTGTGATGATACCCTCTCCGGGGGCAGACCCGTAACGCCCTGCACTCACAGGATGTCCTCAGTCTTCTGGATAGAATGACACTGGCAGGGTTATTCATAAAAGGGTGAAGGGTTTGGAGAAGGCAGGAGAAGTGAACAATCTAAGCCAAAAAAGCTGATTTGGAAAAATTCTCCAATTCAGCTAGTTTTCCAGTTCAGCTATGTTGTCCTAGATTGTTCACTTCTCCTGCCTTCTCCAAACTCATTCACCCTTTTGTGAATAACCCTGTGGGTGTCAATGTAAATATATTCCCAAATGTCGCACCATGAAAATTAGTGCAAATCATTCACAGTTCATATTTTACCTTTTCGGCTGAATGTTTGAAAGCGCCATGCCACTTCCTGTTTTATGCATGTCTGCGACCAATCTTCAAGTATCTGTCTAGTTTTGCACATTTGGCACAACTGTTATGAACAAGATTGCATCTGGAAGAATACATGGGGGGAATTTATCAAAACTGCAGCCGATAGATTCTGGACCAGTTGCCCATGGCAACCAATTAGCTTCTCTCTTCAGTTTGCTCAAGTAAGGTTTGAAAATGAGACAGAGAAGCTGATTGGATGCAGTGCAAAGCTGCTCCAGATTTTGTCTGCTCCAGTCATGATATATTCCCCCCGGTTTCTATGTTGGGCTGTGCGGACTCTCAGGTGGCAATGCCGGTTCTATGGTGGGCTGTGCAGATTCTCAGGTGGGCTGTGCAGGTTCTATGGTGGGCTGTGTGGACTCTCAGGTGTGCTATACAGGGTATTTTGTGGGCTGTGTGATCTCACCAGGGGTCTAGTTCGGTCTCAGAGGGTGCGGGCAACGTGGATCCACAGGAAGGAGGAGCTTTTGGGCTGGAGCTGTAAACAGGTGCTGCAATTCATGGGAAGGCTGCTGGGACCTTGGCAGCCTTTGTGTGAAGCCCAGCACCTGTTTACAGCGCCAACTTTGGTTTAAAAAAGCACCGGTATCTGCGCTTAGTATTGGTGCATTCGTAAAAATGCCCAGTATCAGCACTGATACTGATACCGGTATCGGTGCATCCCTAGTTTTTAGGTTTAGATACACTTTATTTCTTAGGCATCACAAAAATCAAATCAAATGTTTGCGAGCCTTCCCCATAAAAAACCCCATGGGGCATTTGTACTGGTGTAGCGAACAGCTTTTCCTTTCGCAGATGTGTTAAAGTGATATTAAACTCTCAAACATTTTTATGATAATCAATCCATGTCAACAAACATATACTGCTCTGCAAAGTGTTTCTTAAGATTTTTGCCCAAGCACTTACAGTCATGCAGATTTTTTTTTTACAGGTTTTCCAATTACAGATTTTCTTTATTTGTTTTAATCCAATACATTGTTATTTTTTGTGCTCATTGTTTTATTTTCTCATGTGGTAGCAGTAAGCTATGAGAGATCCATACAGTGTTACATAATTTTTGCAGTGAAGGAGAATTTACATTTGCATGTTTGATGCAACAGTTAAAAGGCCGGCCTAGTAACACGTTAACGTATAATGAATATTGTCACCAGTTAACAATAAATACCATTGCTGTTCTGTTTGCTCACCTGCAAAGGTAGAACTGTTGTGTAGCAATATAAAGTTATGATTTCATGTCACCTGCCTGACTGAAGGGAATACTAAGGAAGGGTAGGAGATAACGACATGACCTCAACTTATTTAAAGTTAACCTGTCTCCAGGAAGAATTTCTTAAAGTGGAATACACTCATTATTCTCTTTATTAGGTACACTTGGGGCCGTTCACACCAAAATCGGAAGGAAATCTGAATGAAATCACAAGTTAATAGAGGGTCCATTGACTTACATAGTTACATAGTATTTTAGGTTGAATAAAGACACAGGTCCATCAAGTTCAACCCATTGTGTGTGTGCATGTGATTCTGCATGTGTATGCGTGTGTATGATTCGCTGTGTGATCTTGTTCTTAAGTGTACCTGTACCCCTGTATGTTATGGTCTCTGAGGAAATCGTCCAAATGCTTTTTGAACGATTCAACACTCCCAGCTGAATTCACTGTTTGCGGCAGCGAGTTCAAGACCATACCGCTATAACTGAGAAGAAGCCCCTATGCCCCTTGTGATGAAATCTTTTCTCCACTAATTTTAGGTGGTGGTCTCTAGTCTTTGTTATGGAGTTTACCGTAAAAAGTTTATTGCTGATGTTGCTATCACCATTGAACATTTTGTACAGGAAAATAATGTCCCCCCTTAATCTCCACACTTCCAGCGTGAACATGTTTAAATTTAGTAACCTTGTCTCATAGCTCTGGTCCTCCTTCCCCTTAATTAGTTTGGTTGCCCTTCTCTGGACTCCTTCCAGCTCAAGGACATCCTTTCTGTTGATTGGTGACCAAAAGTGGACCACATACTCCAGATGAGGCCGAACCAGTGATCTATAAAGTGGCAAAATTATAGACTTGTCTCTACAGAACATTCCCATTTTAATACATGACAGTACTCTGCTTGCTTTGTTTACCGCAGCCTGACATTGCGTGCTACTGTTCTATCTGTGGTCTACAATGACCCCCAAATCTTTTTCCATTTCTGACTTCCCTAGTGTCGTTCCCATTAATGTGTAATCCGCCTGCGTATTTTTAACCCCAAAGTGCATTACTTTACATTTATCTACATTAAACCTCATCTGCCATACAGTTGCCCACTCCCCTATTTTATCCGGGTCCTCCTGTAATGTTATATTTTCTAAGTCCGTGTCCATTACCCTCCCGATTTTAGTATCATCAGCAAACATGGAAACTTAGCTATTCACGCCCTCCCCGATATTGTTAATAAACTGGTTAAACTTGCAGTTGCAACCTTCACCGACTTCCATTGCATTGCTTTTTTAAAATGTTTTGTCTCTTTTTTGCCAATGTTTATTTTAAATAACATGTCCTGATTGGACAAACATCTATGAATCCTTTTGTTTTTACTTCCGTTCCATTGCGATTAGATCCATTTTTGTTCTGTTACATTACATTGCGCTGAAAAAAAGGGGACCATGCTCTCCTTTTTTTTCATCGCACTTGTGACAAAACGCCTAGGTTTGAATGGGGGCCATTAAAATTGATAGGAATTTATGTGCTGAGCGTTTTGTTGCGTGTATTTATGCTCAACAAAACGACAAAAACTAGCCCTAAGTTTCCCCCAGCCTCATTACTGTTGCTATATCAAAATGATACATAGAGAACCTGATGAGACAGAGGAAATGTGAGATATGTTATGTCTGGTATGCTTTCTGAGTCAGCCATCCATGTTTTTCTTTGTTTT